TTTCATCAACAATCCTGTTAAATGTTTAGGAATATTCTATAGTCTCACACATTTGACCTTCACTTAACCTTATGTTTTGATACATGTTCGGTCGTAGAATGTTCTATCACTTCAAACCAAAGAAAATAATAGTTTACCTTGAAATAACCTTGAATGTCAGGTTCAATGTCGCATCCAAGGTCAATATTGAAATCCTTGTAAAAAGTTAGTAATGGTCTGTCTTTGATTTTTTCATCAACAATTCTGTTAAATGTTTAGGAATATTCTATAGTCTCACACATTTGACCTTCACTTAACCTTAAGACATGAATTTGACCTTATGTTCACTTTTGATACATGTTCGGGTGTAGAATGTTCTATCACTTCAAACCAAAGAAAATAATAGTTCACCTTGAAATAACCTTGAATGTCAGGTTCAATGTCGCATCCAAGGTCAATATTGAAATCCTTGTAAAAAGTTAGTAATGATGTGCCTTTGATTTTTTCATCAACAAACCTGTTAAATTTTTAGGAATCTTCTAGTCTCATACATTTGACCTACACTTAACCTTAAGACATGAACTTGACCTTATGTTTTGATACATGTTCGGGCGTAGGATGTTCTATCATTTCAATTGCTTCAGACCAAAGAAAATAATAGTTTACCTTGAAATAACCTTGAATGTCAGGTTCAATGTCGCATCCAAGGTCAATATTGAAATCCTTGTAAAAAGTTAGTAATGGTCTGTCTTTGATTTTTTCATCAACAATTCTGTTAAATGTTTAGGAATATTCTATAGTCTCACACATTTGACCTTCACTTAACCTTAAGACATGAATTTGACCTTATGTTCACTTTTGATACATGTTCGGGCGTAGAATGTTCTATCACTTCAAACCAAAGAAAATAATAGTTCACCTTGAAATACCTTGAATGTCAGGTTCAATGTCGCATCCAAGGTCAATACTGAAATCCTTGTAAAAAGTTAGTAATGGCCTATCTTTGATTTTTTCATCAACAATCCTGTTAAATGTTTAGGAATATTCTATAGTCTCACACATTTGACCTTCACTTAACCTTATGTTTTGATACATGTTCGGTCGTAGAATGTTCTATCACTTCAAACCAAAGAAAATAATAGTTTACCTTGAAATAACCTTGAATGTCAGGTTCAATGTCGCATCCAAGGTCAATATTGAAATCCTTGTAAAAAGTTAGTAATGGTCTGTCTTTGATTTTTTCATCAACAATTCTGTTAAATGTTTAGGAATATTCTATAGTCTCACACATTTGACCTTCACTTAACCTTAAGACATGAATTTGACCTTATGTTCACTTTTGATACATGTTCGGGTGTAGAATGTTCTATCACTTCAAACCAAAGAAAATAATAGTTCACCTTGAAATAACCTTGAATGTCAGGTTCAATGTCGCATCCAAGGTCAATATTGAAATCCTTGTAAAAAGTTAGTAATGATGTGCCTTTGATTTTTTCATCAACAAACCTGTTAAATTTTTAGGAATCTTCTAGTCTCATACATTTGACCTACACTTAACCTTAAGACATGAACTTGACCTTATGTTTTGATACATGTTCGGGCGTAGGATGTTCTATCATTTCAATTGCTTCAGACCAAAGAAAATAATAGTTTACCTTGAAATAACCTTGAATGTGAGGTTCAATGTCGGATCCAAGGTCAATATTGAAATCCTTGTAAAAAGTTAGTAATGGTGTGCCTTTGATTTTTTCATCAACAATCCTGTTACATTTTTAGGAATCTTCTATAGTCTCATTCATTTGACCTTCACTTAACCTTAAGAGATGATCTTGACCTTATGTTTTGATACATGTTCGGGCGTAGGATGTTCTATCATTTCAATTGCTTCAGACCAAAGAAAATAATAGTTTACCTTGAAATAACCTTGAATGTGAGGTTCAATGTCGAATCCAAGGTCAATATTGAAATCCTTGTAAAGAGTTAGTAATGGTCCGTCTTTGATTGTTTCATCAACAATCTTGTTAAATTTTTAGGAATCTTCTATAGTCTCATTCATTTGACCTTCACTTAACCTTATGTTTTGATACATGTTCGGGCGTAGGATGTTCTATCATTTCAATTGCTTCAGACCAAAGAAAATAATAGTTTACCTTGAAATAACCTTGAATGTGAGGTTCAATGTCGAATCCAAGGTCAATATTGAAATCCTTGTAATCAGTTAGTAATGGTCCGTCTTTGATTGTTTCATCAACAATCCTGTTAAATTTTTAGGAATCTTCTATAGTCCCATTCATTTGACCTTCACTTAACCTTATGTTTTGATACATGTTTGGGTGTAGGATGTTCTATCATTTCAATTGCTTCAGACCAAAGAAAATAATAGTTTACCTTGAAATAACCTTGAATGTGAGGTTCAATGTCGGATCCAAGGTCAATATTGAAATCCTTGTAAAAAGTTAGTAATGGTGTGCCTTTGATTTTTTCATCAACAATCCTGTTACATTTTTAGGAATCTTCTATAGTCTCATTCATTTGACCTTCACTTAACCTTAAGAGATGAACTTGACCTTATGTTTTGATACATGTTCGGGCGTAGGATGTTCTATCATTTCAATTGCTTCAGACCAAAGGAAATAACAGTTTACCTTGAAATAATCTTCAATGTGAGGTTCAATGTCGCATCCAAGGTGAATATTGATATCCTTGTAAAAAGTTATTAATGGTCTGCCTTTGATTTTTTCATCAACAATCCTGTTAAATTTTTAGGAATCTTCTATAGTCTCATACATTTGACCTTCACTTATCCTTAAGAGATGAACTTGACCTTATGTTTTGATACATGTTCGGGCGTAGGATGTTCTATCATTTCAATTGCTTCAGACCAAAGAAACTAATAGTTTACCTTGAAATAACCTTGAATGTGAGGATCAATGTCGAATCCAAGGTCAATATTGAAATCTTTGTAAAAAGTTAGTAATGGTCCGTCTTTGATTGTTTCATCAACAATCCTGTTAAATTTTTAGGAATCTTCTATAGTCTCATTCATTTGACCTTCACTTAACCTTATGTTTTGATACATGTTCGGTCGTAGAATGTTCTATCACTTCAAACCTAAGAAAATAATAGTTTACCTTGAAATAACCTTGAATGTCAGGTTCAATGTCGCATCCAAGGTCAATATTGAAATCCTTGTAAAAAGTTAGTAATGGCCTATCTTTGATTTTTTCATCAACAATCCTGTTAAATGTTTAGGAATATTCTATAGTCTCACACATTTGACCTTCACTTAACCTTATGTTTTGATACATGTTCGGTCGTAGAATGTTCTATCACTTCAAACTAAAGAAAATAATAGTTTACCTTGAAATAACCTTGAATGTCAGGTTCAATGTCGCATCCAAGGTCAATATTGAAATCCTTGTAAAAAGTTAGTAATGGTCTGTCTTTGATTTTTTCATCAACAATTCTGTTAAATGTTTAGGAATATTCTATAGTCTCACACATTTGACCTTCACTTAACCTTAAGACATGAATTTGACCTTATGTTCACTTTTGATACATGTTCGGGCGTAGAATGTTCTATCACTTCAAACCAAAGAAAATAATAGTTCACCTTGAAATACCTTGAATGTCAGGTTCAATGTCGCATCCAAGGTCAATACTGAAATCCTTGTAAAAAGTTAGTAATGGCCTATCTTTGATTTTTTCATCAACAATCCTGTTAAATGTTTAGGAATATTCTATAGTCTCACACATTTGACCTTCACTTAACCTTATGTTTTGATACATGTTCGGTCGTAGAATGTTCTATCACTTCAAACCAAAGAAAATAATAGTTTACCTTGAAATAACCTTGAATGTCAGGTTCAATGTCGCATCCAAGGTCAATATTGAAATCCTTGTAAAAAGTTAGTAATGGTCTGTCTTTGATTTTTTCATCAACAATTCTGTTAAATGTTTAGGAATATTCTATAGTCTCACACATTTGACCTTCACTTAACCTTAAGACATGAATTTGACCTTATGTTCACTTTTGATACATGTTCGGGTGTAGAATGTTCTATCACTTCAAACCAAAGAAAATAATAGTTCACCTTGAAATAACCTTGAATGTCAGGTTCAATGTCGCATCCAAGGTCAATATTGAAATCCTTGTAAAAAGTTAGTAATGATGTGCCTTTGATTTTTTCATCAACAAACCTGTTAAATTTTTAGGAATCTTCTAGTCTCATACATTTGACCTACACTTAACCTTAAGACATGAACTTGACCTTATGTTTTGATACATGTTCGGGCGTAGGATGTTCTATCATTTCAATTGCTTCAGACCAAAGAAAATAATAGTTTACCTTGAAATAACCTTGAATGTGAGGTTCAATGTCGAATCCAAGGTCAATATTGAAATCCTTGTAAAAAGTTAGTAATGATCCGTCTTTGATTGTTTCATCAACAATCCTGTTAAATTTTTAGGAATCTTCTATAGTCTCAAACATTTGACCTTCACTTGACCTCAAGAGATGACCGTGACCTTATATTTTGATACAAGTTTGGACGTAGAATGTTCTATTATTTCAACTGCTACAAAAAAATAATAGTTGACCTTGAAATAACCTTGACGGTGAGGTTCAATGTCGAATCCAAAGACAATATAGAAATACTTGTCAAAAGTTAGTAATTACCCTTTTTTCTTTTTAATCAATAATGCTGCAAACTTTCTAGGAATGTTCCATAGCCTACGCACCTTGATATGACCTTGATCTTATATTTTAAAAAAAAATATTATATATATTAAAAAAAAATTTTGATACATATTTGTACGAATAATGTTCTATTATTTCAGTTGCTTTAAACCAAAAAAATAATAGTTTACCTTGAAGGTGAGGACCAAGGCCGAATCCCAAGTACTCATTTAACCCCTTGTTCAAAGTCAGAAAAGACCTGACCTTTAAGTTTTTCAAAAATACCTTACCCGGCAAACGCAGTCACATCCTGTATATCATTCCTCATGATATCCTCGACACAACGGTGAACTTCTTCAAGGTCAATTGATGAGTAAAACAAGCACAAAGTCCCCTCAGAATTGCTTTTTAAAAAAAATCCCCCAAAGCGCAGTTAATTAATGGAAATGGGTAGGTTTGGTTCAAAAAGCGGGAGGATACTTTCTATTATTCATTATATCTCCAAAAAATTCCTCAAGTAAAAGTCCCACAAATTTAGGGAAAAATCGCCCAACATGGCAACCCTGTCAAAGCACCACTGCTACTCCACGCGTCAAGTTTTCGGCGTCGTTTTTACTGCTACCGCCTTTCCTACTATAATGCAGAATAAACTCAAGGTCGTTGTTGCCGACCATACTAAGCATTTACATAATATATTACAGATATAAATACAGATAACCTTATATATTAAAAATGATTCCAATACTATTCACACTCATATACAATCACTCTCTACGCCTCGTTCACCAACTCCTCAGAATTATTGTCCGAATCGCCGTCATCATCTTCAACAGTATCGCCCAACTCTCTCAATCTAGTTTTGTAAGTCGCCAGTTTGGTTTCTTGATCCGTCAGCAGATCCAGCAGAGAATCTTGATCCTTCTTGATCCTATCCAATTCCTCGTCCTTTTCCTTGTTATCCTGTATCAACTTTTCTATCTTCCCCAACAATGCTTCGTTCATATCAGAATAAGAAGTGGTAGCCTGCGAAGCTGCATCTTGCGAGCTGACAGCGCTGCCGTTTTGCATCTGGTTATTGTTAACAAGCTGCAACTCCTCGATTTTCTTGTCCAATAACGATCTCATCCTTTCCAAAGATTCGTCCTTGGTCCGGTTCTCTTGTTCCAAGTTTGCGATCTTCGTCAAAAGCGCTTCGTTCATATCTTGGTACGCAGCGTTAGGTTGTGGAACTAGAGGAACGCTAGATTGTGCTGTGGTTCCACTAGCTGACAGTTGGGCTTTTAGCAACGTATTCTGATCAGTCAGTTGGGTGTTGGTTTCTTGGAGCTCCTGGAGTTTTGCCTGGAATAGCGAAAAAGTAGCGTCAGATACATTGACTTTGGAGTTTTCACGCAATTCTGGACAAACAAACTTTGAAAATGCAACATTAGGGTGTTCCAAAATTAATATAGTTCTTACATACTTCTTATTGTAAGAACAGAACGTGGATTTAACAGAAACACATGGTGTCAAAATTTTGTTTTCTTCAGTGTTTTCCGTGTTCGATTCCGCTTGATCACCAACAACATGCATCAAATAAGGTTACGCAAACAATTCAAGATAAGTCCTTACCTCCAGCTCCTGGTTCCTCCTCTGCAAACTATTGATATTCCTCTGCATATCTTGCAACTTCTTATCCTGATCCCTGATCAACTCCTTGTACTGCAACAGCAGCGCATTTTCATGTTCAGTCAAACTCAACTCGGACAGACCGTTCGACAGATCCCTCTGCACGCCCAACGCTTGAATTATCACACCTTCGAGGTTCTTGAACAGCTTGCAGAACTCGAACTCGAGGAGCAGTTCGCTGGAATGTTGCGCCTTGATTTGCGGCTGTTTCGCCGCTTTGGAGTAAACTTCGTGTCGGGAGATTTCGCCGAGTTTTTTGCAGTACGTCTCGATGCCGACGCGTTTTTCTATCAGCTGCGACAGGTTCTCTTTCGAGTAGTTCGGTAGCGAGTTGTCGTTGAAAGCTACGCACAGGCCCATCAGAAAGGCGCAGAGACCCTGAAAGAAATACGGAAGTTGGTGTGTTTTTACAGTATATTCAGATAAGAGATAGACCGGATGTAAACAAAAGGTTCGGGTGATTTTCACGCTAACGCCGCCGTCTCGACGTAAAACAGGAGCCCTCATTGGTCAATTCGCAATTAAATGCCTATGCCGAGCGGCAGAGCAGTCGTATCAAGGCAGAGTCACATTCAGGTTCAGACGTGTTACGTATGTCGTGTGTATCATTGCAATTTGATATTTCTTTGGACGTTTTCGTTTGTTATCTTATTAAGTTGTTGAGTTTGTCGTTGTTATTGTTATACCTTGTTATTGATTGTTATTGTTATCAACTGCTTGCGCAAAATGCCCAGTAGTACAGATACTGCCGATGAAGTTGTAAACTCCTGTAGTCCACCTAGGAAACGCTCTAAAACAAGACACCTGAGTGCAGAAATGAAACAGGTCATTTTGAATATATATAAGATCGAGCGCGAGGAGAACGAGGCATCAACCATCAAAGAAATTGTTGTGAAGGTTTCTCACAAAGTTGGGGTGTGTCGCGCATCAGTGTTTAATGTGTTAAGACAATACAAAAAAAATCACACCTTTTCTGAGCCAATGACCAGTAAACATCGCAAAAGTATTGTTAAATCATTGGATGAAGCTGATAAGCATGCGATTAGGAGGAAAGTGCATGAATTCTTCTTTAGGAATGAAATACCTACTATAGATAAAGTACTGCAGGAGGTAAATGGAGATACAACGTTGCCAAATTTCAAACGATCAACTTTCCATGCGTTACTGAAGCATTTAAATTTCAAATGGAAAAAACGGGGTCATAATAGTTTACTAATGGATAGAGAAGAAATTGTGCTATGGAGGAGGGATTATTTAACAAAAATTGGGAAATATAGAAATCAAAACAGGAAGATTTATTACCTTGATGAAACGTGGGTAAACGCAGGACACACTACAAGTAAAGTATGGGTTGATGATTCTGTAACTTCATCCAGGAGGGCCTTTCTAGATGGACTGTCCACCGGATTAAAAAATCCAGCAGGTAAATACGAGTAATAGACAACAATCGGATGTTTTTCAAACCTTGGGAACAAAGTTCTAAACATTAATTCCAGGGGGCAGATAAAACATATTACAAGTAACAAAACTTTTATAACTTTCGATAAAACGCGTGGATGTTTTATTGTTATTTTCATTTGTTAGAACTTTTTTAAGCCATGTTTTTATGTGTTTTCGATATTTCAATAATTTTTTAATATAATCTTAAAATATGTCGAATATTATAAACTTAAAAAAAGTTACTAAGTTTTATATTGTGTACCGTTCCTAATATTTCTAATCATTTTAATTCATACTTTAAGCTTTATAAAGTTATAATTTGTTAATATTATTATTTGCGCGTATTTCAGGTTCCTGATCATTCATTTTTTAAAGGTTTATAACTTTAAATTAAATTGTGAAGCGCTGAGTAATCATACGACGTTCAATATTCTTTCTTTCAATATGACTAAATAATCCCAATTATAACAATCTGATACTCATGTCTCAATGTTTTTTCGCTGAATGTGATGAAAACATTTGAAAAAGGTTCGCTTATTGAAATAAATCTACACCAGTTAGTACTTCGATTTCCAGGTAAAGGGAAAAGGCTCATTATCTGCCATATTGGCAGTGAGGATGGATTTGTTGTTGACGGTCTGTGGTGCTTTGAGTCTAAGAAAACTGGAGATTACCACGAGGAAATGAATGGCGAATCGTTTGAACAGTGGTTTTCAAAAATTTTACCGAACTTAGAGGAAAACGCAGTAATTGTGTTGGATAATGCGCCTTATCATTCTCGAAGAATGGAGAAGGTGCCAACAACAGCTTCAAGGAAAGTTGATGTTCAAAATTGGCTCCGCCCGAAAAATATCAACTTTGAAGAAGCAATGCTGAAAGTACAATTATTAAGAATTGTCAAGGATCACAAGGCGGAATATCAAAAATACGCCATTGACGAAATGGCAGCAAGTCAAAATAAAACTGTGCTCCGTTTACCTCCATACCATTGCGAGCTCAATCCCATTGAGCTCATATGGGCAGAGGTTAAAAATTATATAGCTAAGCACAATACAACTTTTAAATTTTGTGACCTCAAAGGACTTTTCAAAGAAGCACTATAATTAATAACAGCGCAAAAATGGGAAAACTGTATTAAGCACGTGAAAGACAAAGTTGAAAAGAGAATGTGGGAACTGGACAATATTTTAGAGGAACAAGTCGAGCCATTCATTATTGACGTTGGTGCTTCAGACAGTATTGATGATGAAAGCTCATCAAGCTCATCTTTCCAATAAAAGATGTCGTTCATCAAATTCGGTAAGTTATAAGTAATTATAAAGCTACTGTATTTTTTAATTAATTATTGACATTTTTGAACCCATTTTGGCAAAACCTATTCAAGAATCTACTTTCTGACAATGTTCAACCATGCACATTTTTTTACGTTTTGAACGTTTTAATTTATTTACATATTTACCTAGAAATCAAAAAATATACTAATCAATATTCTAAAAGCAATTTTAAGAGATATACGATTATTTTTAATTTAGGCTAATTTAAACGCCATTTTGAGATTATATTCGACTGTATTTCACCAAACATCAGGCGGCATCCGAAGCTGGAAATCGAAGCGAAAATTTTGAAACCCTTATGTATATTTACATCATTATATATTTCTTACCCCACCCCCACATGATCCTATATCCATCACCAATCGTATACACATCGAATTGTGCTAATTTACTACAAAGTTACGCAAAGCAGCATCTACTATCTAAAATATGTACTGCGTGACTCTCAATACGTCCCTGCCGAATGTTACAGCGTTCGATGATCACGTGGTCTTGTTTATGTCCGGTCTATCTCTTATCTGAATATACTGTAGTAAGTAGCACAGCAGGGTTAGAACGTTGACAGCGTGCTTTAAATATAGTCATTTCGTGCATAATCCGGTTTGTAGAGGTTTGCGAGTTTCGAATATTTTCAAATGAATGAACTTTTTATAGTGTGCTGTAAACAAAACCCTACAGGGTGCTAGTGAGCCACTTGTCAATTCTTTCCATTAGGCTCTTTTTAAAAAAAGTTGAACAAAAAAGTAAGCATTTCAACCCAACATAAATCTTGTGCAAAAACAAAATTAAAAAGTGCTCCGATAGCACCCTGGGCTATTGTCTTCTGAATATACTGTATGAATTTCATTCAAAAATATCGAAAAATAGAGCGTGAATTTCGAAGCAGCTGAACCCTTCTAAATGGCTTGAAACTCACTGCGTCTGAGCCGCCTTAAACTGTATTTTTAAACTTTCTGCACCGTCTATGAAGTACGTTGATAAAGACAAAATGTATACATTTATACGGTTCTGGATTATCTCTTTTATGTACTAAAAACTCACCCTGCAGATACAAAACTTATTTGTGAATTTGGTCAATTTTGCGATCTTTGCGATGTCTAGAAATTTCATACAAAAACTCACCTTAAACTTTTTTTTAAACTTTCTGCACCGTCTATAAAGTACGTTGATAAACTCAAAATGTACACCTTATATACAGGGTGACTTTGAAGTTGAGTCATTAATTTTCAGATAATGATTGTAGAAGGAAGATAAAATGTGTGTAAAAATAAAAAAAAAATGTTACCTTGATTTATAAAGTATCCTCCCGACAAGTATTTCAGTGCGGACCTGTATTTGATCGTGCGGTCTTGGAGCACCGGCATGCCCTCCCCTGTGAGGTCTTAAGTCACCTGATTCACGTACTACCTTAACAAAGGCACGAGGGGTTGGTTGCACTCGATTGGGAAACCGATCCGCATAAATCCGTGATGCCGCGTAAATAAGAAACATGTCCACAAGTTCAGCATTTTCGTAAACATGTGCCATCTTTGATTTCGTTTGAGCCACGCAACAGACACCACTATTCACTCACGCGTTACCGACTGACACTGACTGTATACAACTGAATAAAATAATTGTAAAAACATCGTTCCAAATTCTTTCGCTTTTTTGTTTCCGATGCGATGAACCGATAACGCCGATTATATCCGTTGTTGCCAAACACGAGCACATAATATTATTATTGAGACAGGGCGGTACTCAAACTTCCAAAGGGCTATAACTTTGTTACTTTAATTTTACCAGAAAAATGGTAAAGGAAAAAAACATTTCTTTTGATCAGATCTACTCACTGTTAAAATAAATGACTCAACTTCGAAGTCACCCTGTATTTATACGGTTCTGGATTATCTTTTTTATGTAAAAAAACTCACCCTGCAGATAAAAAACTTATTTGCGAATTTGGTCAATTTCGCGATCTTTGCGATGTCTAGAAATTTCATACGAAAACTCACCTGTAACAATTCTTCGTTACTGTCATATTCGCTAGCCGAAGTCTGTGCCGTCAAAAAAGCCATGGCGCCAGGAACGTTCAAGAAAACTTTCACAGCCGGAGGACAATGTGCCATCCAGTTTGCTAGCAGCATCAAAACTCCTATTTTTGCTTGAAGTTTGCTCGTGTGTTGCAGAAATATGGCACATTGATGGAGAAGACTCACCTAGAAAAAAATCGTAAATCGTCGTTTGTCATCCCGAATTATAAATTGGAAATTCGTGAAGAAAAATAAACCACGATGGCCTGCTGTAATATTAACATTTATAGAAATGTGTACAGATTTTTTTCAAAAGAAAACTTTTTTTTGTTTAGAATAAAACAGTATATGTAGAGAGTGTCCCATTTTCGATGATATTACGGGGTATCTTGCTTGGAGTTGCAGTTTTCGCTATACTGTGCTACTTTAAAAAAAAAACATACAAATACAAAGGGTACTATAACAGTTTTGCAGTATGACTTAACAAACGTTTGTATAACAAATAATAGGCGAATGTTTTCTCCAATGTCGATCTTATTGGATACACTTTGAATCCTATGAGAACTACTTACCGGTTGAGCTCCTAAGTTTGTTGCTAAAAGTACCCGCAGTAACTGTTCTTTCTGAGCTGGATTTTCATTGAGACAATGCGACAGCGCCACTGCGGAGAACCAGTTGCTCAGGTGATCATTACTGAACAGGCCGCTGCACAATAACTGACCAGTTGTCAAAGCTGTTGTAGCTGAAAACCAAAGGAAGTTATATAAAAAACCGCTACGTAAAATAGGAATATTTTCCAAAATTTTAATGTGACGGAAATTAATATTTCATCTACAAAAAGTATAGACTAAAGGAAATATAAAGAATTTAAATGATTGCAATTCAAATACCGTTTTTGTCCAACAAAAAGCAGGAAAAACTGGATGTAAAGAATGTATTCGTGTATTAAAAGTGCGTGGTGAATTCCTATCAAAATTAAAGTTTTAAGAAATTATTTAGTCAAAAAACTAAAATTGGAAATATTGTGTCAAAAATTTCATGATATTTTCGTATTTAACAAAAATCATTTGGACAACAGACAACAGAAAATTGAACATAACTATGAAACTAGAGGCAGCATAGATTTTCATCTGCAAAATTGTAATAGTGGCATAAATCTGTATTTCAGAAGGGAGTATTTGAATTTTATAAAAAAATGTTCCACAGAAACGGCAATCCAAATGTTGGTGGAAGGCTGGAGAAGAAGTATAGATGAGATATTGTAACAATATTTTTAGACTTCAAAAGGGCATCTGAGACTATAGATAGGGAAAAATTGTTAATGAAATTGTGTCACAATGGCTTCAAAGGATCAGTATTACACATTTTACAAAATTATTTAGGAAATATAAGTCAAAAAATTAAAGTTGGAAATATTATGTCGTGTTCAAAATATATCAGTAGGGGTGCCACAGGAGAGTAAATTAGGGCCGTTACTATTTATTATTTATATAAATGATATCTCTGACATTTTAGAACACTGCAAAATTCAAATATTTGCGGACGATATACTTATATATATATATAGAACATAAGCATTTGGACACTGCTTTAGAACTGTTAAATAGTGATATTGAAAAAATTATGAATTGGTTAAATGTCAAACTTGAATGAAACATTAATAATATAAAATGTATGCCAATAGGGAAAGGTTTAATTGACAATACAATTAGGCTCATGATTAATGATGAAAAAATTGAAGTAGTCGAGTCATTTAAATATCTTGGTATACAGGGTGTTTCAGAATATTGTTGCATAACTTTAAGATTCGATAGAACTTTTAAAATTAATGCATAAAGTCTATATAAACATGGGTCGAAAAATGCGTGGCTTCCGAAATACAGGGTGTTTAGATTTACTTTCTAAAATAGTTTTTTTTAAATATTTCGAACAATATTTGATGTATAATAGTGAAAATTGGTATACAAGGGTTTTTTGGTACGACAAAACGAACTATGGGCATAGTTTTACTGTAGTCGCTAGAGGGCGCTCTCTACTGTACCTGTAGTGTATTAAAATGACCGAAAAATTTTTCTTAGTGCAATTTTGTGCTTTTTGAATAAAAAAACTGATTCTTCGCACTTTTTAACATAAAAAAGGTCTTGTGAATTTTCGTTATAGTTAGTCGTTTTTGAGATATTTCGATTTTTAAGGTTCGATGCATTTTTTATTATTTATTGGAAAATATTTTAGAAAGTAAATTTCGGAAGCCACGCATTTTTCGACCCATGTTTATATAGACTTTATGCATTAATTTTAAAAGTTCTATCGAATCTTAAAGTTATGCAACAATAAACTGAAACACCCTGTATATGTGGATAGTAAGCTACTGTTTCACGAACATTATGAATACATTATTTCAAAAATATCGAAAAAGATAAATTACTTCTATAGAGTTTCCCATAATCTTAGTATGTATTCCAAAAAAATTGCGTATAACACTATAATTCTTCCCCATTTTGTAAATTGTTCAACCATCTTGTTTACAGCAAATGAAAATATATTTTCAAAATTACAAAATAAAGCTATGAGAATCATTTGAAATAAAAACAAATATGCCAGGATTAAGTCTATATTAGAAGAACTGCAGTGGTTGGACGTTAAAAATTTTATATATTATTTAGTTCTCGTTTTCATATTCAAATTAAAAAATCATTTATTACCACCACACTTAGAGAACTTCATAAAATTAAATAGTCATTATCATAACTACGAAACCAGAGGCAGTATAGATTTTCATCTGCAAAATTGTAATAACTAGTAAATCTATATTTTAAAAGGGAGTATTTGAATTTAATAAATTAAATAATGATATTAAACAGAGTTCGAATTTAAAAATGTTTAAGGTGAAATTAAAAAATCACTTTATGAATAATCAAAATGCATAGTGACGTAATTTTAATTTTAATAGACAAGAATGTAAAATTACAGAAAATGGTTTGAAGAAAAATATCTAACTGAATCATTATACAAAATTGACATTGTAGCATTAATGCTAAATAAATCTTCAACAAGAACAACAATAAGTATTAGTGTTTGAATTGAAAAACGTTTAACGTGAAATTAAAAAATCACTTTATGGATCCCCAAAATGCACTGTGATGCAATTTTAATAGACAATAGAAAATTGATTAAAAAAATGTGTAAACGAATAATTATACAAAATTGACATTGTAGCACTAATGCTAAATAAATCTTCAACCAACAAACAAACTAGTTCGAAGATCTCACCTGTATTGCTTGGCAACAGCGTCTGAACCACCAACTCTTGTCCGATTTCATTCTTGAACAAGAAACACTCAAAGCAGTACAACACAGCGCATCTGAGCGAAAACGGTTGTTTCTCGTTCACCATGGACATGAGCAAAACCACGATTGCCGGCCTAGGTGGCGTAGACGGCGCCAAGACGTTCGAGAAGTACTCCTGATTGGTCAAGTTGCCTCTGATCACCTCACCAACAGTGTTGATCGTTTCTGTGAGGATGTCGGCTGGTACTCCATTGGCCATGAGGATGTTGCATAAGGTTTCTACAGAGATTATTTAAAATATACTAAGTGACATATAAATCCGAACACCCAGTTTAAATGGTTTTATTTTAATAAAAGTTGGTGAATGTATTTATCTTACTGTAAATAACAAGTGAAAAAATCTTCAGCCTTATCAGTTGGACATTCCGGTTTTTATACTGCTTTTTTTTAATTCGCTTACGCTCTAAAAATGAATATTTCAGCCGCAGTAAAGAATCATCGTTGGCGGATTTTGGTTCTTGACATCCTTTACGTTCGGTTACGATGCCTAGGGTACGGAGACCTGTACGATTTCGTCAACTTAGTGAGTTTGATAGGGGCCGTATAGTGGGACTTCGGGAAGCTGGACTTTCTTTTCGGGCAATTGCAGTTAGAGTGCAAAGAAGTGTAGACACTGTGGTTAGGTGTTGTCAGGCATGGCTTCGAGAAGGCCGTACGCAAAGAGCAAGAGGCACTGGACGCCGCCGTAGAACAACAGACCGTGAAGATCGCCGCCTAAGATTATTGGCCTTAAGGGACCGTTGCTCCACTACCAGGTCCATTGCAAATGAATGGTTTGCAGAACACGGAAGACCTATTGGCATGCGAAGTGTTTACCGACGAATGAGAAGTTTTGGCTTGTTTTCATACCGGCCACACTGGGTCCTCCCTTTAACTCGAGAACACCGACGTAATCGCCTTGAGTGGTGCAGACACCGTTCCCTTTCGATCAGGAATGGAACAGTATTGTCTTAGTGACGAGTCTCGATTTTGTTTAGGCATGCACGATGGTCGTGCCAGGGTTACAAGGCGACGTGGTGAAAGGAGGAATCCACAGTTTTTTGTTGAAAGACATGTTCATCACACTGTTGAAGTTATGGTTTGGGGTGCTATAGCTTATGGTTCCAGGTCACCATTAATCTTCATCAGAGGTAACATGAACGCGCAGCGTTATATCCACGAAGTTCTAGAACCCCATCTTTTACCCTATCTTGACACCCTGGCAGATCCAACTTTCCAACAAGATAATGCCCGACCACATGTTACAAGAGTCACAATAGACTTCTTTCAACATAATGATGTCACATCGTTACCATGGCCACCAAGATCTCCCGACTTATCCCCAATTGAGCACGTGTGGGATATGATGGGTAGGAGATTGCTCAATTTGCAACGTCCTCCTCAGACTCTAGAAGCACTTCGAGAGGAGTTGGTGGTTGCCTGGAATGAGATACCACAGGAGGACATTGACCACCTGATCAGAAGCATGCCTAGGCGCGTTGGAGAATGCGTAGCACATCAGGGTGCATCCACACATTATTAAAGGTCAAAGGGCTTTAAAGCAGTGCAATCATTTTGATCGCATGAATAAGCGGGCCAAACAGCGTGCTCTAAAACAAGCGTCTAAAGTCACTCCTACAGAGTTCAGCGAAGGAGATAAGGTACTCGTAAGAACGCATATGCAATCTTCAGCGGAAGACAAAACAATAAAGAACTTTTTTCATTTGTATATCGGTCCTTACGTGGTTCTCCGGAAGGCTGGACCTAACTGTTATATTCTGAAGGACTCAGAAGGTAATGAAATGTCTAAGCAAAATGTCGTTAATCTCAAGGGATATAAGGAATTACCGCCAGATTTCCCGATGTAGCGGCCCGATGCGGATTTTCCTATAGAGATTTTTCTTCAAAGGATAAACTAGATTTCCTCACCTAGGAAGGGATGTTTTTCTGCAGTATTGTGATTTATTTTGCCCTTCTCATCTACTACTAGTTTTAGTTAGGTTAGGAGATTTATTGTACTTAAATTTAATCACAGGCGCTTAAACTTAAGTGGGGGGTTGTGAAGAGGTTCGGCAACAGCGCGAGCGTGTCGAGTACAAAGTGCGACGGAGGGCAGGTGGTAAGACCCTGAGGACGGGTTGCGAGGGAGACGGGCATGAGCATCGGCAGAAAGAGGACGGATATCGTCGCTCGACCCGACGGACGTACGAACATTGTGACTGCTATTTTTTTTTTTATTTCGAATTGTATAGTGTGACTTGTAAATCGGCCTCTATTTTAGAAAATAAAGTGATATCGTTGTAACACCGTCTTCGTCCCATTAACCTGAGAGAGCTAGCTCGGGAACTATTTCAGTGTTCTCGAGTTAAAGGGAGGACCCAGTGTGGCCGGTATGAAAACAAGCCAAAACTTCTCATTCGTCGGTAAACACTTCGCATGCCAATAGGTCTTCCGTGTTCTGCAAACCATTCATTTGCAATGGACCTGGTAGTGGAGAAACGGTCCCTTAAGGCCAATAATCTTAGGCGACGATCTTCACGGTCTGTTGTTCTACGGCGGCGTCCAGTGCCCCTTGCTCTTTGCGTACGGCCTTCTCGAAGCCAACTAACCACAGTGTCTACACTTCTTTGCACTCTAACTGCAATTGCCCGAAAAGAAAGTCCAGCTTCCCGAAGTCCCACTATACGGCCCCTATCAAACTCACTAAGTTGACGAAATCGTACAGGTCTCCGTACTCTAGGCATCGTAACCGATCGTAAAGGATGTCAAGAACCAAAATCCGCCAACGTTGATTCTTTGCTACGGCTGAAATATTCATTTTTAGAGCGTTAGTGAATTAAAAAAAAAGCAGTATAAACACCGGAATGTCCAACTGATAAGGCTGAAAATTTTTTCACTTGTTATTTACAGTAAGATAAATACATTCACCAACTTTTATTAAAATAAAACCATTTAAACTGGGTGTTCGGATTTATATGTCACTTAGTATATCAAGGTTAACGCGCAGAATCTGGAACATTCCTGAAAGCCTCGAAAATTTCAAGTTTTTAAATTTCTGTAATCTCGAGAATTTCAAGAGTGTAGAGTCGCAAAAATCGTGAAGCAACAAGAATTTGTACAATCTAGTCTCTAAAAATCTCCAGAACCTCTAGAATCCTTAATATTAGGTGCGCCATCATTTACTTTTTTTTACCTATAAGTTCATGGGTTGCCATGTGAGTCAAAAGTCACGTGGTATGCATAAATGAACTGTCAAAGGTATGCCGTTTATAGTCATGGATTCGTTTACAACACAACAACGCATTTTGGTTATCCAAACTTATTACGAAAACGGTCGAAGTATAAAAAATACTTTTCGCAAACTTCGCACTAGTATTGGCCGACATGGACGCCCTACAGAGCCTGGAATTCGTTGGATTGTCAATCGTTTTGAGGAAACTGAAGATCCAACCACTCGACTAGGCACCGTTCGCAAAAATTGGGAATTAGTGAGACCACTTTACGCCGTATTTTATACATTGATTTACACCTCCATCCATACAAAATCCAACTAACACGTGAATTGAAGCGGCAGACCATCAACAGCGGCGTGTTTTTGTTGATTGGATGCTGGAAAGAGAAGACGGATTTTCGGCCAAAGTGCTCTTTTCTGATGAGGCTCATTTTCACCTCAATCGGTACGTAAATAGCAAAATTGCGGATTCTGGGATGCTGAAAATCCACACAAATCTATCCATCCTGAAAAAGTGTCTGTTTGGTGCGGATTATGGGCTGGTGGCATCGTTGGACCATCCTTCTTTGAAGATGCCGAAGACAAGGCCATTACCGTCAACGGGCAACGTTATCGCGGCACGTTAACAGACTTTTTGTGGCCACAATTGGATCGTATTGGTGCCGACTATCTTTGGTTTCATCAAGACGAAGCAACGGCTCACAGATCTCGCCTTATTGCACACGAAATTTCACGAAATTCAGATGTTAGTTGGCCCCCGAGATCGCGCGATTTAACACCTATTGACTATTTTCTTTGGGGATTTTCGAAAGGAAAAGTGTATGCGAATGGTCCCCGGACAATTCAAAACCTAAAGCGCAATATTCGGACTGAAATTGCGGCCATAGACCCGATTATTATCGGAAAAGTCATTGAACATTTTGATGTCCGGATGTTGGCCTGTAATCGAACCCGCGGTGGTCACATGACTGATGTTATTTTTCATACATAAATGGCATAAACCAACCTTCATTTATCAATAAAAAAATTCGATTTCACCTCGTAAAAAGCGTGTTGATTTTTCAAATAGAAAAAAAAAGTAATAGATGACGCACCCTATATCTCAAAAATTCTGAAATCTATTTTTTTCTTAAAATTTAGAGTACCTCTAAAACATCTACATTCTGCAAAATATCTAAAATCTCTGAAAGATACATAATCTCGAAGATAACCTAAAATCTCAATAAACTAAAAAAGCTTCAAAATTAAAAATAACTCAATCTCAGAATTTTCTAAAACATTTTTTGTAATGGGTGATTTTTTTGCTAGTATTATCTTTTTGGCAACACTGTTTTTGACAGATGACGCGTGAATCGTGTCTTGTGTCATTGTCAAACTTGTTCAGTTTGGTCTATAATTTAACCATGAATCGACTTACCAACGAACAACGCTTGCAAATTCATCTCAGTTAGCCCCCGAGATCGTGCGATTTAACACCTCTTGACTATTTTCTTTGGGGATTTTTGAAAGGAAAAGTGTATGCGAATGGTCCCCGGACAATCCAAGACCTAAAGCGCAATATTCGGTCTGCAATTGCGGCCATAGACCCGATTATTATCGGAAAAGTCATTGAAAATTTTGATGTCCGGATGTTGGCCTGTAAACGAACCCGCGGTGGTCACATGACTGATGTTATTTTTCATAAATAAATGGCATAAACGAACCTTCATTTATCAATAAAAAAAATCGATTTCGTCTCGTAAAAAGCGTGTTGATTTTTCAAATAGAAAAAAAAGTAATAGATGACGCACCCTATATCTCAAAAATTTTGAAATCTCTATTTTTTTCCTAAAATTTAGAGTACCTCTAAAACATCTACATTCTCCAAAATATCTAAAATCTCTGAAAGATACATAATCTCGAAGATCCCTAAAATCTCAATAAACTAAAATTAAAAATAACTCAATCTCAGACTTTTCTAAAACATTTTTTTGTAATGGGTGATTTTTTTGCTAGTATCTTTTTGGCAACACTGTTTTTGACAGATGACGCGTGAATCGTGTCTTGTGTCATTGTCAAACTTGTTCAGTTTGGTCTATAACACTGGTCAACAAAATTTTAACTTTGTCGTGCCACACGGACTTTTTTGATATTTTTTACTTTAATTGGTGATTGTAAGAAAAAATAAACAGTTAAAAAAAAATTGCTAGACAAGGATTTTATTCTATTGAGTAATTTAAAATATTAAGAAAAAACACATATCTCGTAAATCAAAAGTTATTTTTTTTTATAAATGACTTAATAATCTAAGATTTTCTTGAATATTTAGCTTCTGGTTGGTCGCTTTTAATTGTCCAGCAGTAATCTGCTAACATATTTGGGCTCCATTTGCCCTGGTACCGCTTTTCCATATTAGAAATGTCCTGATGGAACCTCTCACCGTGCTCGTCGCTGACAGCCCCTAAATTGTCAGGAAAAAATCCAAGTGCGAGTCTAAAAAATGGATCTTAAGTGACATGTTGCAACCCAATGCTTGATATGACAATAATAGCTCGCTAACCAACTCTCTGTAGCTGTCACTCTTGTGGTTACCCAAAAAATTTGAAACAACATTTTTAAAAGCCTTCCATGCAGATGTTTCTAAATCGCTTAATTTTTCTTCAAATCTTGAATCTTTTATTAACTCCCTAATTTGAGGGCCAACAAAAATACCCTCTTTTATCTTTGCATCACTTATTTTAGGGAATTTTTCTTTTAGATACAAAAATCCACTCCCATTACAATCCATTGCCTTCACAAAATTTTTTATTAATCCTAATTTGATATGCAATGGTGGTAGAAGCACATTATTTGTACAAGGGGTAAATACTTTACGTTTTTTTGCCCAGGAACTAACGATGCACGCGTAGGCCATGTTTTTTTTATATAGTGATTAGTTCTGTCTCGGCTATCCCATTCACATAAAAAGCAGCATAGCTTTGTATAACCCAGCTGAAGTCCAAGTAATAGTGCAACAACTTTAAGATCACCGCAGATTTTGAAGGAATATGTACTGTAATTTATTTTTTCAAGTAAAAGTTTCATATTTTCATAGGTTTCTTTCATATTTGCAGCATGGGCCAGAGGTACAGACGGAAGCTTATTTCCATTATGCAATAACACTGCTTTTAGACTTGCTTTCGAAGAATCAATGAATAAACGCCACTGAGAGAGATCAAAATCTATGTCCAACATTTTCATAATCTCATTTATGTTATTGCAAAACACCAAATCTCCATCCTGAGAAAAATACGTTCTGAAGTGTTGATCACGGTTTCGAAAATAGCTAACTTTTGTATTATGATGTAGCAAATTCCATTCTTTTAGACGTGATCCTAATAGTTCTGACTGCTTTTTTGACAAATTTAAATCCCGAACCAAATCATTTAGGTCTCCTTGAGTTATCAAATGTGGCTCGTTTACAATTCCTTTTAACTCAAAGTCATCGTCCTCGTCAACACATTCACCTGAAGTGGACGGTTGTGGATTGTTCTCAACAGACGTAGTTGCAACTGGTATTAGTTCTGGCAATTTTTTACAATGAGAGACTGGTCTTATAGCCGAAGATAAGTTAGGGTAAATAACTGTGGTTTTTTTCTTGTTATTTATACCTTTTATGTCTGTGAGACAAAAATAGCAATCTGAAACGTGATCTCGCTGTTCAGTCCATATCATGGGTACAGCAAACGGCATAGGTCGTGCACCTTTCTTCCAGTCAGTTAAATTTTTCACACACGTTATGCAACAGACATGAGGGGCCGAGGATTTGTCTTGATGGGCGACAGAAAAACCAAAACATTGGTGATAACACTCCAACACAAGATTCGTAAAATTTCGTCGTTGTTTTTTGAATGTTAGTTCTCCGCAGACATAACAAAAAGAGTTAGGATCATTATTACACTTCCTCGACATATTCACAGGGTTAATAAATCACAAAACAGTGTTCAAATTCAACAACAAATATTTTTATAAGGATTTACTTGTAAGCGTTTCTGTTAATTTACTGCCGTAGTACTAGTTATGAGTATTACCGTATCACAACAAATATGAGGCTAATAGACATATGACAGCTGTCATGTAATAATGAGGGTAGACTGATAAAACAAAATTAGCTGTCAAGGTTCGTGTGGCAAAACCAGTGTTGACCAGTGTAACTCTTAAAAAATCACCCGTTATAACCGACTTACCTAAGAGATTTGTATTCCTCATAGTCTTCTGACAAGCTGTAATAATCTGAACAGGATTATTGGGCGACACCAAAGTCCTTATCACTTGCAGAAGACAATGAAAATTCGAAACCTTCTGAGGGCTCCACCCTACTTCTTCCAAATTCGCAGGCAGTTCGAACATCGGCGTCAACTTCTGAATGTAAGATCCTTCTTTGAAAAAATTGATGTTGCTCGTGTTGTTTCTTAGCAGATTCAGGATTAAAAGTAGGCAGTCTTCCACAACTATCCAACCATCTGTCCAGCCTTCATCTTTGATGATGTCAAATAGGCGGTCAAAAGCGTTCTCAAAAGCGACGATTTTCTGGATGTTCGCATTGGATTTTGTTAGGTTTATAAGAAGAAGTAGAGCGTCGTTTCTCACTACCTCGCGATTTTCTAGCAGGAGGTCCATTAGCTTTGAGACACCCATTGGGCTAACCTGGATAACAGATTTTTTATATTTTAAAAACACCCTTAAATTAATCATATTATAAGACTAAAATTACTATACGGGAATTTGACAGTACTGTGGCAAGAAGAAATATAGCAGTTTTTGAATCCCAGCAGTCTCAAACTAAAAAATCTTTGAAATCACAAAAATTTTAGGATTTCTGGAATCACTAGAATTACAAAAACTGTTTATATCACTATTCAATATACAGGGTGTTTCAGTTTATTGTTGCATAACTTTAAGATTCGATAGAACTTTTAAAATTAATGCATAAAGTCTATATAAACATGGGTCGAAAAATGCGTGGCTTCCGAAATACAGGGTGTTTAAATTTACTTTCTAAAATAGTTTTTTTTAATATTTCGAACAATATTTGATGTATAACAGTGAAAATTCGTATACAAGGGTTTTTTGGTACGACAAAACGAACCATGGGCATAGTTTTACTGTAGCCGCTAGAGGGCGCTGTCTACTGTACCTGTAGTGTATTAAAATGACCGAAAATTTTTTCTTAGTGCAATTTTTTGCTTTTTGAATAAAAAAACTGATTCTTCGCACTTTTCAACATAAAAAAGCTCTCTTGTGAATTTTCGTTATAGTTAGCCGTTTTTGAGATATTTCGATTTTTAAGGTTCGATGCATTTTTAATTATTTATGATAAAATAACGTTAACAAGTCAGTATAATTTTTAGAAGTAGGCTGTGCCTGCAAATAGTTTTGAAATTGAAAGCAGAATAAGGTTAAACGTCAATTAGTTGACAGTTAGTTTTGTTGTCTGTTGAAACCTAAAACGTTTTTTTGCAATTGTGAATGCACGAAATTTAGTTTCTTTTACCTGTTTTTTTTTAAGTTTTATAAAAATGCCATTTTTATTCTCCAATCAACAGTTAGCGGATATTCATTTTGTGTATCGCTGTGTAAATGGAAACGCAGCAGAAGCAGCCAGAGAATACGCACCAAGATTTCCAAACAGACGACATCCAACTCGCTCAGTATTTGTAAGAGTGCATCGCCAAATAATTGAAAATGGTTTTGGAAATCTCCAAAGGGATCAACACATAAATGTTCGTCAGCGCAGATTTACCCGTATGATTCTGCGTGAGTTTGATAGAGATCCGACCACAAGTGTTAGGAGAGTTTCTGGTGCCCTGGGAATTTCAGCAAGCCATGTTCACCGTGTTCTTAGAAATGACCATAGACGTCCTTACCATTTGCAACCTGTGCAAGGACTACAGCCAGGGGACGGAGAACGAAGAATCACATTTTGTCAGTGGATTCTTGATAGAACTGATAATAATAGGAAGTTTTTAAGTAACGTTTTATGGACCGATGAGTCATGCTTCACTAGACGTGGAGTGGTAAATTTTCATAATCAACATATTTGGTCGCATGAAAATCCGCATGCAGTTCGGGAAAGAAATTTTCAGCATGAATTTAGTGTGAACGTGTGGATTGGTATCTACCCTAATCGACTATTTGGACCCTACCTTTTGCCTGCAAGGTTAAATGCTGCGACCTTCTTGGAATTTTTAAAGGCTGAACATGCAAATATGTGGGATGATGTTATGTTAGATTTAAGAAGATTGACCTGGTTCCAGCTTGATGGTTGTCCAGCTCATTATTCGAGAATAGTTAGAAACTGGCTGGACGAAAATTATCCAGAAAGATGGATCGGCCATGGAGGACCAGTCCCCTGACCTAAATCCATTAGATATCTTTGTGTGGGGATTTCTAAAAGAAAAAGTGTACCAGATTCCCGTAACCACCAGAGATATGCTAATAGACAGAATCAGGAATGCATGTGATGAAATAAGGCCTTATTTGAATAATGCTATACCACGTTCGGTCATTCGTAGATGTGAACTGTGTATTGAACAATTGGGTTTACATTTCGAGCAACTACTTTAGATTTTGTATGTTTGTCCTAACTATCCAATAGCATTTTAGTTGTAAATAATTAATTTAATTTGTTAAAAATAATATTGGAAAATTAAACAAATTAATATTCTGTTTTTTTGTGTTTATTTGGAGTTAGGAATTATTGCTGTGTTTAAAAATACAATCTAAATCATCATCTTAATTACTTGTAATGCCCAAATCGAAAATGTAAAAAAAAATATTATTTTCCCATAAATAATTAAAAATGCATCGAACCTTAAAAATCGAAATATCTCAAAAACGGCTAACTATAACGAAAACTCACAGGAGAGCTTTTTATGCAGAAAAGTGCGAAGAATCAGTTTTTTTATTCAAAAAGCAAAAAATTGCACTAAGAAAATTTGTTCGGTCATTTTAAAACACTACAGGTACAGTAGAGAGCGCCCTCTAGCGGCTACAGTAAAACTATGCCCATGGTTCGTTTTGTCGTACCAAAAAACCCTTGTATACCAATTTTCACTGTTATACATCAAATATTGTTCGAAATATTTAAAAAAAACTATTTTAGAAAGTAAATTTAAACACCCTGTATTTCGGTAGCCACACATTTTTCGACCCATGTTTATATAGACTTTATGCATTAATTTTAAAAGTTCTATCGAATCTTAAAGTTACGCAACAATAAGTTGTTAGTTATACTCACTAAAATAATGTCCTGCACTTCTTTAGGCTTTGACATGACTAGGGAAGTCATTAGCTTGACGGCTGGCCATCTTACTCTGAAATCATACTCCTCCAAAAAACTCAAAACCAGTGTGACGTTCTCTGGATTCTTCAGAAACATCTCAGTGAACTGCTCCCCAACATTTACTTGTTTATTAATGTTATTTTCACTCTCTTCCTCGAAAACCTCACTGGAAGTTATGTTACATAAGGTGTCCAGGCAATACCTGTAAAGGATGTTAAAATATACATTTTATCAGAAGAAACGCATTATCTAAAATGAAAAAATAATAGCAGATCGAATGAATACCTGTTTCATAGAAAGTGTCAAGTTAAGTTATTGTTCCATTAGATCAGAGTATAATGCATAATTCAGTGAGTTTAGAACAATAAACATTAACCGTCTCAAGATTATATCAAAATTGAAATCGAAACAAGAATATCAATCCCAATTACTGTTTACAATTTTTCAACAAAACTGAAGTGTTCTGTCATAACTCCTGTATCGAAAGTTAAGAATTCTTGGTTGTACGCGAATATGCGGCCAATAAATGTTCTGCCAGACATTGAAATAAAATTTTACCCAAATTTCAAACTGGATTCAGGAAGAAACACTCAACTGAAACAGCAATACAAGAGGACTGGAGGCGATATATGCACAATAGGAAACATACAGTGAAAGTGTTTTTGGACTTCAAAAGAGCGGATAAATTACTTACAAAATTGTAACACCATGGATTTAAAGGATCTGTATTCAGAATTCTACAACACTATTTAATTGACAGAAGTCAAAAAAACAAAATCGGATGTAGATCATCAAGCTCAAAACGTATTTCTGTTGGTGTACCGCAAGGTTGTAAACTAGGTCCACAACTATTTATTTTATACATCAATCGCATTAGTAAAATCTAAGATTATTGTGAAATTCAGATATTTGCAGATGATATATTAATATATACTAAGTGACATATAAATCCGAACACCCAGTTTAAATGGTTTTATTTTAATAAAAGTTGGTGAATGTATTTATCTTACTGTGATAAATTTTCAGCCCTATCAGTTGGACATTCCGGTTTTTATACTGCTTTTTTTTAATTCACTAACGCTCTAAAAATGAATATTTCAGCCGCAGTAAAGAATCCACGTTGGCTTGGCGGATTTTGGTTCTTGACATCCTTTACGATCGGTTACGATGCCTAGAGTACGGAGACCTGTACGATTTCGTCAACTTAGTGAGTTTGATAGGGGCCGTATAGTGGGACTTCGGGAAGCTGGACTTTCTTTTCGGGCAATTGCAGTTAGAGTGCAAAGAAGTGTAGACACTGTGGTTAGGCGTTGTCAGGCATGGCTTCGAGAAGGCCGTACGCAAAGAACAAGGGACACTGGACGCCGCCGTAGAACAACAGACCGTGAAGATCGCCGCCTAAGATTATTGGCCTTAAGGGACCGTTTCTCCACTACCAGGTCCATTGCAAATGAATGGTTTGCAGAACACGGAAGACCTATTGGCATGCTAAGTGTTTACCGACGAATGAGAAGTTTTGGCTTGTTTTCATACCGGCCACACTGGGTCCTCCCTTTAACTCGAGAACACCGACGTAATCGCCTTGAGTGGTGCAGACAACGGTCACTCTGGGATCAGGAATGGAACAGTATTGTCTTTAGTGACGAGTCTCGATTTTGTTTAGGCATGCACGATGGTCGTGCCAAGGTTAGAAGGCGACGTGGTGAAAGGAGGAATCCACAGTTTTTTGTTGAAAGACATGTTCATCACACTGTTAGAGTTATGGTTTGGGGTGCTATAGCTTATGGTTCCAGGTCACCTTTAATCTTCATCAGAGGTAACATGAACGCGCAGCGTTATATCCACGAAGTTCTAGAACCCCATCATTTACCCTATCTTGACACCCTGGCAGATCCAACTTTCCAACAAGATAATGCCCGACCACATGTTGCAAGAGTCACAATAGACTTCTTTCAACATAATGATGTCACATTGTTACCATGGCCACCAAGATCTCCCGACTTATCCCCAATTGAGCACGTGTGGGATATGATGGGTAGGAAATTGCTCAATTTGCAACGTCCTCCTCAGACTCTAGAAGCACTTCGAGAGGAGTTGGTGGTTGCCTGGAATGAGATACCACAGGAGGACATTGACCACCTGATCAGAAGCATGCCTAGGCGCGTAGCACATCAGGGTGCATCCACACATTATTAAAGGTCAAAGGGCTTTAAAGCAGTGCAATCATTTTGAAATTTTTATTATTTACTAATTATGCTTCATTAAGTACTTATACAAAAATTTATTAAAATAAAACCATTTAAACTGGGTGTTCGGATTTATATGTCACTTAGTATACATATCAGATGAAAATATAGACACTGCTTTAAAATAGCTAAATTCTGACTTGGCAATTAAATAAATTATAATATTTATACAATAATTACTCTACTGCATTAACTATATTATTCAACTATCTTGTTCACTGCCAATGAGGCTGGATTATCAAAATTACAAGTCCTGTAAAATAAACCTATGATGTTGAATAAAAATAACTACACAAAAATAAAATCTATGTTCCAAGAAATGTGGTGGTTGAATATAAATAAATTCACACTTGGTTCTTATTTTTATATTTAAAATAAAAAATCATCTTTTGCCACATTCAGAACACTACATAGAATTGAGCGATCATTACTACCATTATTAGACAAGAGGCAATATAGATTTTCATTTAAAAGACTGCATTAATAATCTAACTAGCAAATCAATATTTCAGAGTGGAATTTAATAAACTAAATACTGATATAAAGTCTACCTGTAATTTAAAAATTTTGAAAAGAAAATTAAAGGAATATTTCCTGGACAGTGAAAATTCTTAGAGATGCAAATTTTGTTTTTCTAAATATCTGTATGTTATGTAATTGTTGTAGCTTTTTAAAATAATGTAATTGTAGCAATCATGCTAAATAAATCTAAAACAAACAAACCAGCACATTAAAAGGGTGATACGTCTATGCCCAATTTTATTAAATGCATCTATTAAAGCAAGAAATTCCTCAGGAACAAATTAATAAATGGGTTTTTATACATAAGTCAGGTGCTTTTTAAAAAAGTTCTTTATTAATATGGGTGATTACATGCGGTTCTTACACAAACCATATAATTCTTACAGATATATTTTAGAAAAAAAAATGATTATATTCATTAGATCTATTGATCCAAATATGCCATCTGATTGGTCAATTTTGATCTGTAGAACAAATTTTCAGATAGTGGAATTTTTTAAAACTACACCAAATGCTTGGTTACATCATCAAAAATTAGAACTCAAAAGGGACAATGTACCCACATTATTGACAAACATTTGAAAAAATAATTTCCATAATCCAAGGTAATGTAATAATAAAGATAATTAGACAGTAATTGTTTATATTATTTTGTATTTTTGAAACAAAAGCAATAAAAGAACCAAGAGGTACAGAATTTTCAGGTCTTTGGGGCAAATTCAGTTTTGGTGTTAAAATCAAGTTAAAATACACTGCTGTGCAGTTAATTCCAAATCCTTAACAGATTTTTGGAGACATGTAGTTCTAACTATAATTCAAATTCATATTTATACAGGGTGACTTTGAAGTTGAGTCATTAATTTTCAGATAATGATTGTAGAAGGAAGATAAACCAAAATATGTGTGTAAAAATAAAAAAAAATAAAAACAAATTTTTTACCTTGTTTTATAAAGTATCCTCCCGACAAGTATTTCAGTGCGGACCTGTATTTGATCGTGAGGTATTGGAGCACCGGCATGGCCTCCCCTGTGAGGTCTTAAGTCACCTGATTCACGAGCCCTTTGTACTACATTAACAAAGGCACGAGGGGTTGGTTGCACTCGATTGGGAAACCGATCCGCATAAATATGTGCCATTTTTTATTTCGTTTGAGCCACGCAACAGACACCACTATTCACTCACGCGTTACCGACTGACACTGACTGTATACAACTGAATAAAATAATTGTAAAAACATCGTTCCAAATTCTTTCGCTTTTTTGTTTCCGATGCGATGAACCGATAAGGCGGAGTATATCCGTTGTTGCCAAACACGAGCACATAATATTATTATTGAGACAGGGCGGTACTCCAACTTCTAAGGGGCTATAACTTTGTTACTTTAAGTTTACCACAAAAATGTTAAAGGAAAAAAACATTTCTTTTGATCAGATCTACTCACTGTTAAAATAAATGACTCAACTTCGAAGTCACCCTGTATAATTGTGTACATATTCTAAAGTCGACAAGGCTCTTTAATTACAGCACTCCAGTGCAATTCAAATTCAGAACCAGGATTTTTTCCTAGACCATTTCTTGAATTTCATACATACCCGACAATCTCACAGTCGCTCCTGTCCAATTCGAGCACCTGCGTGAGGATGTCCATGCCTTGGGCCCCAACTTCGAGTCGGTACTTTTTTGATAACGCTTTAAGGGCTCTGCAAGCATCTCGACGGTCCTCTAGTAATGTTGAAGTGCTCACTCGGTTTACTAATCTTTCCACCTAGAACGGAGGATTCTGGGGTTAAACAGGGCCGAGACGGCTGTTTAGGACTTACGGTTTCGGCGCCTGTTGGTTGGGTACCAGGGGGTGGGGCGCCCAGCACTGACTTTAAACCGCTTCGGAAATATTCCATCTTTAATACGTTTTCGCTTATAATTATATTTATTTCATCTTAAATCATTCCGAGATTTGTTGACAAATGATTAATACAAATACACGTCAACGTAACATGACAGATTGACGAAAATCAGTAAAACACGTCAACAAAAAAATTAAAAATCGCTGATAATACAATTAATTGCGAACAGATGGCGCCAATACCTAAGCTCCGATCGCCATCTCTCGAGGTGTAGCCTAACAAAAAAAGAGCGCTTCGGAACAGAAACCGTTTTAAAGTCCTCGCAGCTTAGTGCGACTAGTTGCCGACAGATGGCTCGTAGTTACCTGTGGCGCCATCTCTTGCAATATACATACTTTTCAAAGGGCTTTTAAAGCAGTGCAATCATTTTGAAATTTTTATCATTTACTTATTATGCTTCATTAAGTACTTATACAATTTTATTAAAATAAAACCATTTAAACTGGGTGTTCGCATTTATATGTCACTTAGTTTACTTTCCATGCCTACTGGCGAAGAATTATTGTAATCGCAGAATCGCGTATACGAAATAACTAAAGTTGGGAAAGGCCAGTGTATGACATATAATTTTTGGAATCGGAATTAAACATTCTAGTGATCTGTGCAAAAATTAAATACGCTGAGAAAAAATAAAGTTGATGTTGGAGGACAAGATATGAAACGTCATATTGAAATTCTAATTATGTCATTTTGTAGAGGAGAAAAAGTGGCAAGGTTAATGTGGAATTTATTTTGAAATTTCGCTATGAATACGGTCAGCAAAAAGTCAAAACGATTTTGGGAAAATTCAGTTTTTTGTGGTGAGGGTCGAATTTAAAACACCCTAGTATCACGATAATTAATGTTTCACACAGTTTCAGTTTTATTTCTGTTCTAGTTCTGTGTCAATCCAGAGTCCCATGGACTTTAAGGTTAATTACCACTTCGATGGATGATCCTTTGAACCAAAAATCATATCTGAGGATTTAGATGGATTACTTTTTAGATTATGCAAGCAAGAAATGCCTACTATACAGGGTGACTTCGAAGTTGAGTCATTTATTTTAACAGTGAGTAGATCTGATCAAAACAAATGTTTTTTCCTTTACCATTTTTCTGGTAAAATTGAAGTAACAAAGTTATAGCCCTTTGGAAGTTTGAGTACCGCCCTGTCTCAATAATAATATTATGTGCTCGTGTTTGGCGACAACGGATATAATCCGCCTTATCGGTTCATCGCATCGGAAACAAAAAAGCGAAAGAATTTGGAACGATGTTTTTACAATTATTTTACTCAGTTGTATATGTATACAGTCAGTGTCAGTCGGTAACGCGGAGTGAATAGTGGTGTCTGTTGCGTGGCTCAAACGAAATCAAAAATGGCACATGTTTACGAAAATGCTGAACTTGTGGACATGATTCTTATGAACCCCTCGTGCCTTTGTTAATGTAGTACAAAGGGCTCGTGACTTAAGACCTCACAAGGGAGGGAATATACCGGTGCTCCAAGACCACACGATCAAATACAGGTCCGCACTGAAATACTTGTCGGGAGGATACTTTATAAAACAAGGTAACATTTTTTTTCATTTTTTTTTTATTTTTACACACATATTTTGGTTTATCTTCCATCTACAATCATTATCTGAAAATTAATGACTCAACTTCAAAGTCACCCTGTATATAATACCTTAATCCTATAGTATACGTGGACGCCAGTAGATGACGCCATAATATTACCGCCAGCACCATCTATGGAGCAGGTTTCAAAGGTTTCATAATTTTTATCTAGTAACCTTTCCGCTGTACCAGATAAAACACTAATTTCCCGATAGATGACACTACCAATATAAATAATCAAAAATTCAAATTAATAAGGCATATCAGACCAAAATATGTATATCCTGACTCTACATTGTGGGGTAAAATAAAAATCGACCGCCACGGGCAGGTCTCAAACGGAAAAATGAAGGGCGATCTACGATTTGTAAATGTTAATGACAACATGTAGATGATGTGTAATTTTAGATCCAAAATCTTTTGTCAGTTTTCCCTGAGATCGTCTCAAAATAGGTACCTATTTTGCCTTCTTAAATAAGGTTTCTACAGTAGGATTTTGCTTGGAGCTATCTAAAATCGGTCGGTGCTTCCGACAAGTTTTATTTACTTGTTTCACAGGGGACAAAAATGGAAATGTTCCATTGAGGATCTTTAAAAATTTAAAAAAGCCAGCTGTTAATGAAAATCGTCAAAAGAATAGTTTGTATCTGCAAATACAATCAACACGCGCTCATTAAAGGATTTTTTTTGACGTTTTATAGGTTTTTTGTGACAAGTTTTTCTACAAGATGTTCTTAGCACAACCTGTCCTAAACTTGTTGTGAACTCATTTTGTAGCTGTACGTGTTGCCTAAACGTCATGATGCTCAACTATCAATATTTGGCGCTGTTGTGATATAGCATCTGGCATTATTGGAGGTCTAAGCAGCTGTAAGTTGTATACTGTAGCTGGAAGAAAACGATAATCTGTATTGATAATTTAATTGGCTCCTTGTCTCAAATACACGCACTTGAGATATATTCAAAGCTAGAAAAGAACAAAGAAAGACGGGGAAATCGTAACTCATAAACTGTCTTCAGAAAACGTATAAATAACCCGTCGGGCACAGCGAATAGATATACTTCATTGGCAGCATATTCAGTAATAATTTTCTTACATAGCATATATCACTGATTACACATAATCATCCAAATGCGATTTTGCTTCTTTGTTTCACATCTTCTGATAGATAAACACTACTAGACTTTCTGCAACTAACAATGCATGTTTGAGCGTGTCGTGTCGTTGAGTCATTCCTCCACAGATGGAGCAAACGTGGCATAAACTAAAAACACTAAAAACTACCGAGTCTGCAGAGGATGCGTATAGGGCATGAATCTGATCAGTTTTTCTTTAAAATCAATTTTAAACATATACGATGGCTGCATATTATCGAGAAGCTCCCTACATCGAGTGGAAATGTCCATTTCACGAGCAATTAATTTTATTATGTTTAGAGTGCAACAAATGCAACCGTTGCCGCGCGATGCATTGTTTTCGATTTTTGACCGCAAAAGGATGATCCTTTGTATTCGGCGACCTGGTGCACCATAAACATAATAAACAAAGTACTACTCGTACCACCATTAACATTAAGGCGACACACCGGCAGACCACATCGTACGCCTACCTTCGGATCATAGGCAGGGCCGTTGAGGCACACACGCCAGTGGCGCACCTAAAAAATCTCCAGCTTAACCGCCGAGACATCGGCAACCTCCATAGATGTCATTTGTACAACAAATAACTTAGCTGAATCATTAATTTCAACTAGCTCTGTACCTGTTCCGAATTTGTCAGATCATAATGTAGTCAGATGTGACTTCAACATCACACGGCCTAAGAATTTTCAAAAGACTGTCAAATATAGAGATTTTAAACACTGTTGTAAAGATCAGTTTTTGGTGGATTTGTATAAAATCCCATGGGACGATATATATTACATCACTAACTTAGAGGATAAAGCTACGTTTTTTTCTAATCATATTTTGGATTTGTTTGATGTCCATGCTCCTGTTATTTCATCACGTATTACTAAACCTTATGCTCCATGGCTCACAGGTGGCATAAAATTTTTGATCTCCGAGAGAAATAAAGCCTTTAGAAAATATCAGATTTTAAAAAGTCCAGCTAGTCTCGAATATTACCAGAAATTAAGAAATGATGTCATTTCCGCTATTAGGCGGGAGAAAGCAGCATATCTAAGCTTCAATGAACAACTAAATAGTAACAAGCATCTCTGGAAAGCTGTACATTCATTGAAACTCAAAACTAATGTAGATAAATCTTTACCTACACAGTTGAAGAATGCCGATGAAGTAAACAATTATTTTTCTTCCGTTTTCACGCCTTCGGGCAATTGCAAGGATCTAGTTGATAAATTTAATAGTACCAAAATTAATGAAAGTGCTAGATTTGAATTTAGTTTTGCTACCCCACAAAATGTGCTAGACATTATTCTGTCCCTAAAATCTAATGCAGCAGGTTCGGATGGTATAACAGTCTCAATGCTGAAGCTTTGCTTGCCTCGAGTATTACTACCCCTGACGCATTTATTGAACTGTTGCCTGGAGGCTGGGTATTTCCCTGATGCTTGGAAACTATCTCTTGTCAAACCCTTGCCTAAATGTAAAAATCCAAAATGTCTCTCAGACTTAGGACCTATAACTTTGATTCCTGTTATATCGAAGATATTGGAGAAATTGATTAAACATCAGGTTTATCATTATTTCTCTAATAATGATTTCTTTCCCAAGTGTCAATCTGGTTTCCGCAGTGGTTTTAGTACAACTTCAGCTTTAGCAAGGGTTTTAGATGACATCATTGCTTCGCTTGATAAGGGAGATGCTTCAGCACTTGTATCATTAGATTATTCTAAGGCGTTCGATAAAATAGATCATGAGCTTTTATGTGCTAAATTGAAGTTTTTTGGTTTTTCAGACATACCTCTAATGTTTTTTATAACATATCTTTCAAATCGTAAACAAGTAGTAGAGATAGACAACACTATATCTAGTCCGATTGATATAACATCAGGTGTTCCTCAGGGTTCAGTTTTAGGGCCCTTGTTGTACTTAATTTATACTATAGACTTGGGTAGCTCTGTGAAAAACTCTTCTGTGATGTGCTATGCCGATGATACACAGATATATAAAAGCTTTAATAGTAACACTTTGCATACTTCAATCAATGAGCTTAATGATGATTTGGAGGCAATAGTAGGATACTCAAATGGTAATAATCTTAAGCTCAATAAGGATAAGTGCTCAGTGATGCTTTTTTGTCCTGCTGTCAAACGTAACACTGTATTGAATTCTCTTGATGTAAAAATCGACAAGGAGCGTCTAGCTGTCGTAAATACTACAAAAATTTAGGGTTGATTATTGATTATACTTTACGGTTTAAGGAGCATGTTTCGTCTATCTTAAAAAAATGTTATGCAACGTTGAAGTGTTTTTATGTCAATCGCTCTATTTTGAATTTTAAAGTTAGAAAATGTTATGTGAGGCTATTATATTTCCAAGCTTATTTTACTGTAGCACTGTGTTCTATCATTGTCTTGATTCTATCACAAAAGCAAGACTCCAAAAACTCCAAAATACTTGTTGTCGATTTGTATTTA